CCAGGAAAATATGAGATAAACAAATGTGATTTTTGTAGACTGGGGGAGAAGAAGAGATAATAATCCTTAAAATATTTGCTCTTCACATTTCACTTTTCCCTTTTCACTTCACTATATGCCCACAAATGTTTTTGTTTCTTGTGGATCATTATTAGTTCAGCCATGTTCAGCAAATCTGTACTATTTGTTCCCTCTGCATAGAATTACTTTCCACTAGTCAGTCACAGGACAAATGCTCTTATTTTCATCAGGTTTCTACTCAAATGTAACTCTCTCAGAGAGGACTTCCATTACCACCACTAGTACAGCAGTCATTGCATGTCATAGTACCTTTGTTTATTGTCCATCTCTACCATTGTCAGTGTCTCTAGCAATATCAGCTCCACAAATGCAGAGCTTTGGGGTATCCCATTCACCGATAAGGACCCAGTACTATGAATGTTTTGCAGCACTAAGAAAGCTTAACAAATAAATATTTGTTTCATAAGCCATATATATTCTCATCTGTTCCACTGATCCTGAGGTCTGTCTTTTTGTCAGTACCATGCTGTTTTTATTGTAGTAGCTCTGTAGTATAATTTCAAGTCAGGGATTGTGATGCCTCCTGCCTTGCCATTGTTGTCCAGAATTGCTTTTGCTATTCTAGGTCTCTTCTGGTTCCAAATGAATTTTAGGAATGTTTTCATTATTTCTGTGAGGTATGTGAATGGTATTTTGATTGGGATTGCATTAAATCTGTACAAGAATTTTGGGAATATGGTCATTTTCACTATGTTGGTTCCTCCTATCCATGAGTAAGGGATATCTTTCCATTTTCTGATATCATCTTTGATCTCTTTTTACCAAGTACCATAATTTTCAGTGTATAGATCTTTTCCTTCCTTTGTTAGATTCATTCCTAAGTATTTCATTTTTGGGGGGTGCTATTATGAAAAGTGCTATTTCCCTAATTTCTTTCTCATTGAGTTTGTTATTTGTGTACAAGAATGTTATTGATTTTTGAATCTTGATTTTGTAGCCAGTTATGCTGTAGAATTTGATTATGAAGTCTACAAGTCTTTTGGTGGAGTTTTTGCAGTCTCCTCTGGAAAGTATCATCTCATCTACAAATAATGATAATTTAACTTTTTCCTTTCCTATCCTTATTCTTTTTCTTTCTTTTTCTTATCTAATTGCTCTGGCTAATGTTTCCAGAACTATATTGAATAGGAGTGGTGACAGTGGACATCATTGTCTTGTTCCTGACTTAAGAGTGAAAACTTTCAGTTTTCTGTCCATTTAGTATGATCTTGGCTGTTGGTTTGTCATAGATGACTTTTATCAGATTGAGGTAAAGACTATGTATTCCTATTTTCTGTGGGGTTTTTATCATGAATGGGTGTTGCACTTCATCAAATGCTTTTTCTGCATCCATTGAGATGATAACATGATTTTTGTCTTTGGCTCTGTTAATATGGTATATTACATTTATTGATTTGCATATGTTAAAATATCCCTGCATCCCAGGGATGAATCTTACTTGGTCATGTTGTATAATTTTCTTGATGATTTCCTGCATTTTGTTTGCCAATATCTTTTTGAGGATTTTTGCGTGTACATTCATTAGGGAGAAATAACTCCAAACCTACTCAGACACATTTGACAAAGGGGCCAAACACATTCACTGGAAGAAAGAGAACTTCTTCAGTAAATGGTGCTAGAAGCACTAGTTTTCCACATGCCAAAGATTAAAACTAGACCAGTGTCTATCACCATGCACTAAACTAAAATCAAAATGGATCAAAGATATAAATATTAATACAGAAACACTAAATCTGCTGAAAGAGAGAGAGCAGGCAGAACTCTTGTAGACATAGGTGTAGGCAAAGATTTCATAAATAAAACCCCAACCACACAAGAGATAATACAAAGAATCAACAACTGGGATCTCATCCAACTAAAAAGATTTTGCACAGCAAAAGAAATCACCAACAGACTGCAAAGAAAACCCACAGAGTAGGAAAAAGATTTAGATGAAAGACTTATATCTAGAACATATAAAGAACTGAAAATAAATCAGGCCTTCAAATTTAAAGACTCAAAAAAAATTTAAAGACTCAATACAAAAATGGGCACCTATGGTGACTATAGACTTCTCAGATGAAGAAATACAAACAGCAAATAAATACATGAAAAAAATGTTCAACATCACTGGTCATTAGAGAGATGCAACTTAAAGCAACGCTGAGATTCCTTCTCACGCCAGAAAGAATGCCTGTCATCAAGAAATCAACCAATAACAAATGCTGGGGGTGCTGTAGGGAAAAAGGAACCCTTCTCCACCAGGTGGAAGTGTAAACTGGTGCAACCACTGTGGAAATTAGTGTGGAGAGTCCCCCCAAAAAACAGAATTAGAAGTCCCATTTGACCCAGGTATTCCTCTTCTAGGTATCTTTCCAGAAGAATTAAAAATATCATACCACAATAATTTATATACTATGTTTATAGCAACAATCTGTAATAGCTAAATCTTGGAAACAACCCAAATGCCCATCAACCAAGGAGTGGATAAAAAAAGATGTGTTTTTTTATACAATGGAGTACTATTTGGCCTTAAGGAAGGATAAATTTGACACATTTTTAGGTAAATGGATGCATCTTGAGACCATTCTCTTAAGAGAAATAAATCAGACACATATGTGTAAACATCACATTGTTTTCCTGGTGTGAGAAACTGAAAGAGTAAGGTCTGAAATGTACAACAGATATTGTAAAATAGGGAGGAACTGTTCAAAAGGAAAGAAGAACCAGGGAGGGAAAAGAGGAGAAGGAAGTAAGGGAAAGGGAAAAATATAACAGTTTTTAAAAAAGCATAAAATGGAAACAAAGGGGAAAGAGGGATTGAAGGGAGAGGAGGGGGTTGGGAAAAAAGAGGTATCAAAATATATCATATACAGGTACAAATTGATGAATATGATGAATATGATCTTTCTATATATCTAAATTGTCCCAATAAACTTAATTTTTTAGAAAAGCCAACAAGTAAGCAGGAGTTTTGAAGATCAAATTTTAAAAGGTGCCAAAACAATCCTACTAATATCTTTTAAACATCACTATTATTCACCTCTTCTATATTAAAATTTAACAACCGACTAAGGGTCTACTCTGATTTCTCCAAGTCATGCAAATTGCATGGAAAATGTTGAACTGTTGTAGAGTTTTGAACACACACACAACAGCCCCACTTAGAACTGTGTTTGCAATGGCTATAGAGAAAATCACAGTTTGGGGCCCCAGATTTTGTTTTCTAGGTTAAATGATCAGTAGGTCACATATACCAATATACTAACAGAAGTAAATACTGTACTTGCATTCTGCTAGACCTGATTATCCTGATGAACTTCAGCTGGAGTTTTCCTGTGTTTACCCTCTACAAATTTTTAAGATTAGTTACTATGTGCCATTAGATAGGATATCCACTGATTTTAGAGACACCTAGGTTTCCATGTTTAGTACTGTCTTATTTTTTGTACAAAGTCCACAGCATTTGTTAACCACACAGCAGTATGTCTCTCAGTTCACTTCTATTGAGTCCTCTTATTTTGATTTGACTTTGTAATTCATTGTCCCTTATAAGGGGACTATAGTCACTGCTTATCTAAGTGTCTTTTACATCTAAAAAAAAAAAAAAAAACGGAAAAGAAAGTGATGGAAAGAAGGAATGAAAGGAACAAGAGAAAAAAGGAAGGAAAAATAAGAGAGAGTGGAAAGAGAAGAGAAGGAAAGGAAGAGGGGGAGGAAGGGCATGAGGAATAAAGAAGAAAAGGTGGGAAATGAAGTCTGAGACCTACAGGTCACACCCAGTCAGGCAAGACCAGTGCTTCTTAGTAGACCAGGGCCTTTGAGGGGAATGCTGGTCCTGGGTGCTACCCCAGCCAGCCTTTCCTCATCTTGGGGCTCGCTCTAGGCATTGTTAAAATGTAGTTTTCCCTGCCTTCCTCTGGAGATTAGGCTTCAACAGTGTGCAGACAAGGAGGTTGTGATATGTCTTTAACATCAGTAGAGTGGTGACTGCAGCACTTAAGCCTGCACTTGAGCTACTGAAGAGTTAGTTACACACAAATGACTCCACTGGAGAGCTTCTGACAGAACAGGTCTGCAGTAAGGCCCAAGAGTTTGCATTTCTAACAGACTCCCTTGTAATACCACATTCTTGAGCAGAAAACAATTTGAAAATGATTATACTATTTACTTCTTATAACCAAATAAGTTGGAAGAAACAACTGTAGCACATTTCTTTGAAGCTCTCGTTGAAATGACGCATATTTTTTTTTCTCTAGCCTTATAAGTACCATAATTAAGATGTTACCCAGGGACTTTTGTGGGCCAGAAATCAGATTTAAACAAATCTCTGCAATTTTCACACTAAAAGCAATAAAGAAGATGAGGCTTAATCCACAGTTTTTCATTAGCAAGGTAAAACACTAGTTTAAAGCAGGGAGATCCTGCCGGCAGTGCATAGGTTATACACTACAAAAGGTTACTCCACAGCAAATCAGCAGAGAAAGCTACTGGAGAACACAGAAGGCTTTCAGAGTCCGCAGTTCCGGGTCAGACTGAGATATTGGTTATGTCACCATGTAACACCTAGTGGAATGAGCAAAAGCTAAATTTTTAGAAGCTGATTTCGGCTTGCTTGTTATTCAGAGATCCAAACTGGGCCGTCGGGGCTTTGGGAATGGTGCTTTGCAGCTCAGTCTGGCCACCGTGAACTCAGGCCCGCTGTGTCACTACTTTTCATGTGGAATTTAAGGGGTGTGACTGCATCGTTTCCAACCCTGCATTCCACATGTGACAAAACTGATCCAGCTGTTTGTCTGAAAGAAATTCCTTGCTGTCCTTAAAAATTAAAAAGCAAGTGGATATCCGTCCTCCAGGGGCACGTCTCCAGCTGGAACCTGGTACAGGCAGTTGCGAAACAGAGACAGCGCCCTGGAGAGCATCTGCTTTTGAATTCTTACCTCGCCATAGGGGGGTTAGCCCCATCTTGCTTTTTGAAATGGTAGATTCTGGATGGAAGGTGCTGGCTTGGCCCAAAGCTCTTGAGAAGTGTTCATCCACTACTGACCCAATGTCTCCCTGGAAATAAGTGAAAAGGACACAGCGAGAGTTAAGGTACTCCATCTCGGCAGGCTGGTCTTTCTCCTCCTCCTCCTCCTCCTCATCCTCCTCCTCCTCCTCCTCCTCTTGTTTGCTGGGAAGGGTGACTTCCAGAGAGTCCTGCATCTTGCTGTATACCGCTAACTTCTTCTGGGATAGAATAAACAAAACACAGTATCAAAGATAGTTGGTAAAAAAAGAAGCATTAGCTAGTTAACTTTTCACTTTACAAAAAAAGAATCTAAATATTAACATATGTTTGCAAACTGATTCTTCTTCATCTGTTTTTCTCCATCTTTTCCCTCCCCAACCATTTGCCTCCTTCCCACACTGAAAAAAAAGTCTGTTATTCCAAATTTAGCAAAAAAGTCCATTATCAAAACTGTGTATTTTCAAAGTGTCACAAAGAATTCAATTTTGGGGTTTTTGGTTACTGTTTCAAAACCAGTTACATTAAAATGACTTTTTAAACAGTTACAGTAGATCCTTCTAGTCTTTCTTCACATTTTTATTCACTTGTTAAGATTTAATATATGGGTAACACTTGAGTCCAGGATAGGCAAAAATAGAGTATAGGAAATCTAACTGTCTAGGGGCAGGGTGGAGAAGAAAAGAACTTCTCTCAAATGAAATAAACCAAAATAAAAACAGGAATGTAGCATCTTATAAAAAGACTTGGCAGATGTGCTGAACTCATTTCTCAAAAATCAAACTAAAATGACAAAATAAGTCTGTGTGAAGATTCATTTTGCATGGAACATATTTTTCAGATGTTCCACTTACCACCATTATCATAGAGAACAAAAAACATTTTATTGTGGCTTACTGAAAATAATACAAAATACTAGCAAGGACTAACTTTTCAAATAAAAAATGAGAAAATGATAATCGAAAATATATTTTAAACATATGATCATGGATATAATATTATATATTATGCAGGATATTCTTTTAAAACTCTATATTTATTACCTCATTTAATGTTTATAATTCCAAAACAGTTATTACTACCATCTACATATAAAAGAAAGACATCAAGATCTAGAGAAGTTAAGTACCTTGCCAAAGGTCACAGAGCACACAATTAATGGACCCAGAATTCATAATAAAACAGGCAGGTGTATACGTGTGTGTGTGTGTGTGTGTGTGTGTGTGTGTGTGTGTGTACTTGTAGGTATGTATGAGTATATAAGTGTGTTGGGAAAACAGAAGGGATGCCTAGTGTTGGAGGGAAAAGTCATTAAAATGTTATATTCTGTATTGATTTCCTGCCTGGCAAGGTGGTAATTAATTATTATTTTCTCATTCAGGCTTTTTAATATTTCCAAATATTTTCACTAAACATAAAATACTTGTATTACCAACAAAATGCTTATGAATTATGCATAAGAGAATGCTAAAGCTTACAAATGCATTATTTTAGTGATCAAAAAGGTTTTCTATACCACATATTTATCTGAAAACTGCAATCCTTTCTCATACAATTTTTCAGAAAAAAATACACTCTGAAAAACGAGTCTGAACAGAAAAAACTATCATTCCAGAATACTCAGTAGTTTTACAAATACTACCAAAATATATTAACCAGATTCTATGGTTCCAACATAATTACTAGTTTCAAAATCAATATCTCAAATTATAAATGTATCATTTAATAAATGAACACTATCTTCCATGAATAAATATGTTTTTCTTGTGTCAGATGGGTTCTGAAATATTCAGGCATATTAGGAGGTACAAATTATGATGGCGTTATTATTTATAAATACATGTGACACTTTTTGTTTAGAATGTTGATGTAGATATCATTTGTTGATGAATAGATAATTTACTCCTTGTAAGTGAATGTGCCTTGCTGATAAATAGGTGATTGTAATAACAACCTAATTATATTTCTTAGCATGCCCTTTTGCACAGATTTGAAAGCACCTATATTTTGCTGTATTTCAATAGCAAAACACCATAGCATCACAGGTTATGTGTAAAATGAGGAGACTAAACTAAATGACCTCTAAAGTTATCACTAGTTTTAAATTACACTCTAAAATTAAACAAGTACTATGATTTATTGCTCAAGTCATAGTGCTGTTTCTCTATGTGGTGTGTATTTATGTAAAGCATACACTATTGTAGCATATGCAAACACTCTCTTTTGAATATTCTGGCATATTTTATATGGAAAGGAAATTAAAACTGAGCTACAGGGTAGCTTCACTCTCTACAAGTGTTCATTATTATCTATAAAACTGATTTCTTTTTCCTGTTAATGTCCAGCTCAGCATTAATTTGTCAGGCAGGCTTTGCATATAATTGTTTAATTTGTTTAGCTGTAGCATTTATTCTTTAAATAAAAGAGCCTTGGCTATACTGATTATCCAAATAAATGTAAGAATTTATTTTACCTTCAATTAATAGCAATTAATTCTTAGGTGAAATAAAATTAAGTTATATATGTAAAAGATTTAAAAATTGAAAATTTTAATACAAATATAAAATTGTTCTGGGATCAATAATACTAATCATAAAAGACCTTAAATTTTTAACTGATAACAGCCACAGATTATAATTTTTTATATTCTTACTGGTACCTAATTTTGTGACTTTTTGCTACTAAATTGCTGAATGGTACAAATACATTAATCTTTAGAATTCCATACTTTTCAGTACACAATGAGAAAAAATAACCAAAACCTACCATTGTATTAAAATGTCCTTAGTCTAGTTTTTAAAAGTCATTCTTCTGTCAATACATACACTGATATTCTTTATATTTCATGCACATAGTATCTCTCTACTCATCTAAATATGCATGCCAAAATATCCCCTTTTGATATTACAAAGAATTGTGGTACTGTAAAAAAGGGAAACTATGATACACCTACCATAAGGCAGGACATTGGAATATTTATTATTTTCACTGGTACTTTTTTCAGATACAGTTAAACTAACTTTCACAAATAATTGTGAACCAATTTAAAAGTTTACATTTCTAACACACAAGCGCATGTAGACTAATAATCAACACTGCTGGTTACAATAAGAATTTTAAAGTACACAAATGGCCTGATAACTACCTAAAGCGCTAAAGTCGAATTTGCATAAACGTTTTAACTTTAAGTGTGACTCTGAAGAAAACAGGAACACGAAACAATAGCAACTGACTCGGGCTGACACTGACACTATGCTAATGTTCTTCATAGTCTTGGCCTCTGCTTTCTGGCGTCTGTGCTTTGGTGAACAGCAGTAATTTCCTCACTTTCTAAAATAAACACATCACACTGCTCATGTTTACTTTTCCCATATTCTGTATTCACTTTACATTTACTTGTTGAATGAAATATCCCTGGTGTCACACTCTTTTCTGGGGATAACCTGCCTTATTCAAAATATTACGATTCAATCTCAACTCATCAGAGCCTAGATTTGTGGAATCAATACCAAAATATAATCTAGTACATATTTTTCTCAAAATGTACAATCACTTCTAAAAATATCCAAATCTCATACATATTCACGCATTTCTCACAAGACTCTGAAGAATTGTTAACAAAACTGAACAAGCCATCAGAAGGGATTTTGTAGACTACCAGTTGTCTTATTTAATACATATTTACGTTTCACTGCCACTGCTCAGTAATGACACATTTTCCCCACGAAATCAGACTCTAGAGTTAGGTGAAACCAGGAATGGGTTAATAGCTACAAAGTGAAGCCAGTGCACCAAAGTGCAAATGAAAAAGGTAGAAGAGAGTGGGCATAGGGTACCCAGCCCCAGCAGACCACCTCAAAGCGTGGACTAGGCAGGAGAGAAATGAACTGGAGAAAGAATGTGCAGGAGAAAGGATCTGTCTGACAAGAGAAAAACTTCCATGTCAGGAGCCAAATACCACAAACTCCCCAAGGCTTAAGCCTGAAAAATGCCAAATGATTACTGAGCGTATGTGGAAACTTTTTTCTTAAGGAAACAAAAGTATTTTAATGAATCACTAAAATCACTGGATATTTAGAAACAGCTATTTTAAAAATATTTACTAGTTATCTTTTTAAATGCAATGATTCTTTTATGTTCAAATATATGCTCAGAGCCTATGGAAAGAACCATTACTCTAGGGTAAGTGTTTTAAAATCATAAAGTCCACAAAACCACCTCATTGGTCTTGGAGCATATTTTTCTTAACTTACTTGTATTTTGAAAAACTAATCATTCTCAATTTACATGTGCAAAAAATAGTTTGTAGGTTCACCTAACTAGTAAGTGGTAGATGGGAGCTCAGAACTTATTTCAGTCTGATAGCAAGGCTCATGCAAGAAAACACTCTACAGAATATGAGTCTCTATAGGATACTTATTTTAGTTAAATAGAAGCACAGAATCCCACAGTCAGCGTGACATCACATGACAAGTTGGATAATCTAATGTTTATAACATAAAAATATCAGAGATACTGTTATTAAGTAATGCAGCATTCTGAAAATGCATGTACCTCTTGACAAAATACAACACTGTATCTGACAAATGTATTGTCCTCTGATGATCAGACACATAATATACTTGGATGTAATTTTTCCAGAAATTCTATTCTGCAAATGTGAGCAAAATTGACTTGTGAGAAACAGTCATACTTCAGATGCTATTTGTTTTGATTTGCTTGCTTTTTTAAATTTTTCTTAATAACAGTAATATTATTTAAAAATAATATTACTTAATATGATAAACTACTTTTGAGCACACTGCCTACAAAGTCTGGTCATTATCAAAAATCCAGCCTACCTCCTCCAAAGATGAAAATTTTCCAGTTTTTACGATGTTTGAAAAAAATGTGCCACAGGCTTAAAAGCAATTTCAAAATTTGCATTCCCAAAATGTTTTAAGCAATGATCACATCATTAGGGTATGCATGCTTTCTCAAACCAACTACTTTGAATGAAACAACAGTTTCCAATGAACAAACCTCTGCTATGTTTGCACAATACTGTGAATAGACTTAGGGTGCAACATTTTTAAGAATTATTCATTATGCATTCACTCATGCAAAGGTCAATTCATTCTTATTTTGTGTCAAGAATTGTGCAAAGATTTGGAGATACAAAGATAAAACATATAGCTGGTCCCTAATGAACTGCTGTTAGTTAGAAAAGCATTTGTATGGC